TGTTGCCTGAGAGTGCTGTTTTGTATCTTAGCATGAACTGTAGTGGTTGGTGGGCAGCTATGCCGACAACTTCTTTACTGCTCCTCTCAGCGCAAGGTTGGAGATTAGTTCCCCTCCCTCAAGTGGGACTCACTGCTAAGAGTGAAAGTGGGAAGTAATGGAGGGCACTTCCAAGCAGAGTCTGTGAGTGACTGTAAAAGCAGCTTCTTCTATTTGTCTGCTGTTTGTCGCCTAGCACTTGCTCTGGAGGAAGCCAGCTACCTCACCCTGAAGAAACTCAAGAAGCCCTGTGGACAGTCCACATGGTGAGGGGTGAGAAGCAAGGACTTCTGCTATGAAGCATGTCTGAGCCTTGACACGGACCCCACAGCCACTGCCGCTGGCATGACATGTCCCAGTTATTTGCCGGGAACCTCAGCCCACGGCATCACTCAGCCAGTCTGTCCCCATATCCCTGATCTGTAGAAACCATGAGCTAATGCATATTTATGGTTGAAGTCATGACTGGAGTAGCTTGTTACATAGATAATTTACCTGCCTCAACCAATTGCCAAGACAGAGCTGCACCGAGGACCTGAATCGACCAAATGTGTTCTTACTTACAGTCTGTGTGACCTGAGAAGAATAACCTGCTGGCTGGCACTAAACAGCTTCAAGGCTGTTCTCACCTCAGCGTCTCTGGGCTCTTGCCTGGGAGGCAACTCCAGTGGACTTCAGAGAACTCAAAGCTCTGTTCCTCGGTCAACTTTCAGTGTACTGAACGCCCAACCTCCATCACACTGAGGAACTTCAGGAAAGAGCATGGGTTATTTATGTCTGCCTTCCCCATCCACCCACTGATCCTGAATCGGGGTGTGTTTGATCAAGCCCAAAAGGTTCCGTTGAAAATTCCTTTAAGCCAATGGATCCCTGTTGGCTTTATAGTTACTTACAGAGACATATCAGTGTTTCCTCACATAATATGAAACATTTGTTCTAGGATATTGCCCCTTCTGCCCATTCAGAAGAGCAGCTAGCATTTGTAAAAAATCAAGCTGCTTGTCAATCACCTCATTATAAGTGGCTGAATCCAGTAGGCCAAGCTACTTACTTTCTTTTCAAAGACCATTGGTTACTTTTCCTTAAACATGTATGCAGGAAATTATAGAACTTTCCTCCAATACTATGAGAACTGAACAAGAGAGTGCATGGAAAACCTTTATGATAGTGCATGGGAGTGAGGGCTGTGTGGACTGGCGGACACCTGGGTCGTACCGGCAAGGCCAGGTGTAGCTTCATCAGCTGAAAGGGAGAACCCAGTTCCAAAGGATCGCTGCTAAGCCATGAGCCATCCAGGGCTTGCTGTGGTGACTAACTGTGGAGAGTGACTAGGGCCTTCTTGGGAGACACAGAAGGCTGATATGTATCACAGCCTGATTCTTTATAACTCCAACTGAAGCTTCCCTTCTGTTTATAACTTAGAAATAATTTTCTTTTCCATGCAGAGCCAAAATGTAAATGTTTCTGTCCTAGTTAATTTGTCATTGCTAGGACAAATATGCTCTAAACCCATGATGTAAAGGAGGGGAGGTTTATTTTGGCTCATATTTTAGTCCATTGTCTGCTGGCTCCAAGGTGGAAAGCGCATGGCAGAAGGGTCTGGCGGAGAGCCGCTGGCAACATGGTGGCCAGGAAACAGAGAGAGAGGGGAGGAGCCAGAAAGGGAGATGAACCCTCCAGGCCACACCCCTATGACCCACTTCTTCCGACCCATCAGCAGCGAGTCAGCTCTAAGCCCTTATAACCTAATCACCTTCAGGCACATGAGGCTTTGGGGCCACTTTAGATCCAAACCACAATGTCCTTATTTTCCCATGGTTGAATAGTGGTCATTATTTCTAATTTAAAAAGTCTTGAATGAAGAAAGTAAACAAATTTTCTCCCAGATAACTAAAAACAATTGCTATTAATCATAAATAGTGTGCATTCCTAATCTTTAAAGTTGCAAGAGTAAGAACTCTTACAAATGCCCTGTTTTGGTGTGAGTTGGAATTAGAAATTTAGTGTTCAGGGTATCTGATTCTGTTCTGGGATTCATATACTCAGTTTCCTTTCTTCTTTCCCTAGAAGCAAACTGGTGTTTCCTGAAATGTAAATTGTAAGAAATGCTTCCTGCGGACTATAGTTGAGAATATAGTGCAGGAGTTTAGGTTCAATAACCTCAAATTCATGTCATTCCTCATAGAACAAGCAACCCTAGGGCAGAGGACCGCTGCTCAGGGGCAGTGAGGAAATGGGGCTCACGTGCCTGGACCATGTTCTTCACGGGCCATGAGACCCCAGGACGTGAACCTCAGGCTGGCTCTGTCTTCAGTTCTGTCTCACATGTGTGATGCTGTCTGAGACACACACTCAGAGCAGGTTTGTGCATTAGACAGTTGTTGCTGTGAATCTCTGTGTCCCCTCCTCAAAACCAGTGGGACGCTTACCGTTTAATTGCTCAGTTTAATAAATTTAGAAATGGTGGCTCTCATAGGAAATTGAAACAATAATTAGAAATATTCTGAAATATGCATCAACTTTAGATGTTTTTTCTGTAGCATATTAGCCTGAATGTTTTATGGGAGTGAATTAGTCGCTGCAGGCAGAGAGAGGAAAGAGAAAATGTGTTCATGTTCTTTCCCATTGAGTAGCATTAAAGCACATTAAAGACCCTCAAGTATACTTGTACGCCAGCAGACTTCTGAATCAGTTGTTTGACGAACCACATAAAAATCTAAATAATGTAAAGCTCTTAAGAACTTACTGGCCAAAAATATTTGGGGAGCCAGAGGAGATAAAATATATATGCAATTTATAGACTTGACAGATTTTATAACCAAATTGGGTAATACCTACAGCTGAGAAAGAATATTAAAAAACTGTGCATTGTGGTGTTTTGTACCTTCTACTTTCAAAGAAATGTTTTGAGTTAGAATTTAACTTTGCTGTTGCTATCAGTTCATAAAAGAGTTCAGTGGGTTTGGGTCTCTAGTGCAAAATTCCAGATTTGGAAAATGCATGAATATTTTCTTCTTACCATGAGAGATTCAACCAGTTATCCTGGATCAAAACAGGAAAGAGACACCCCTTTGGCAGTTTTTCTTACCAACGTAATGATAAAGCCAGACCCCGTTTGTTCATGACAATTCTTTGCCAGTAGAGTTGTGAGACTTCTTTGATCCCACTTTGCCATCTACTTTGCAACAACACAGCTTCTTTTCTATTAAAATATTAGGTGAGTCCTGCAACAGAACCACAAATTCATTTTTTGCTGATCGTCACTCTAGAAGACTTTGTATCTGGAAGGTAAATTCCTCCACCTCTTTTTTCTTCTTATTATTGTTATTTGAAAACAACAGTTGAAAGCAAACTTCAATAAAAATTTCAATTATTTATCTGCTTATCACTCAAATTCTCAAATTATTTTGAAATTTTTTCTGGAATACCTAACATTACCATTGTATTCAACTGCACATCCCTTAAGGTGGGAAGAGCTAATATATTTGTAATACACTGTGTTCTTTCTGAGGCTATCATATTTTTTCCTTCCACGTGGATCTTATTAATTTTTGTTCTTGTACATTTATTATTTAATTACTACTGGGTGTTTTGTATTATTTTGGTATTGTAAGTAAATTGGTTTCCCATTCCTAGCATGTGCTTACTCCTGAAACATACGATATTCATACAGTATTCTATAATATAGTTTTTTGTGAAACTCTTAATTTAAAAAAATTGCTTTCATTGCCTGTGGTTTTTCTGGATATGTAGCAGCAGTAACAGATACTGAAAGCCCCTTCAATGTAAGCTTTCACACATGTGGTAACTGCTGGCCAAACCTGCTTACCTCCCTCTGCCTGCCATCCGGTCCTAGCTCACATCTACCAACCCTTGCCTTCACAGAGGCAGAAGCCCCAACAAGTCTACCACCTTCCTTCCCACTCTCATTCTTCCAGTTTGCTCTCACACCCAAGTCATCTTTTCAACATAGAATGCCTAAGCCACCCTAGTGCATCAAGAGTCAGCCTCTTTCTATTCCTCCCCAGAAAAGAAAGACAGTGCTCTCCACTGTGGCCTGCTCTCCTGGCCTAGCTCACAATGTAGCCCCAGCCTCAGTAACCCTTGACTCCTGTCCCTCTTTTCTTTGCAGGACTGGGGATTGAACTCAGGGCCTTGGCGTTGAGCTCCATCCCAGCTCCCTCCTTTTCTTATTTCATTTTGAGAGTCTTCCTATACTGCTAATTTGCCTGAGCTGGGCTTGAACTTGGAATCCTCTTGCCTCAGCCTGTGACCTCCTATTGTGGCTTATATTTAGATATCCCCCTAATTCCTAATGTGCTCACAGGTGACGCATTTGGGAGGTGACTGGATCGTAGATGTGTGATATTGGATTATCCTGTCTTGCTTTCTGCCTACCCTGCCATGGACTGTTTCTCCTTCACCTGGTCCCTCAGCCACATTGCCCTGCCTTGCAACTAGCCAACTATAGACTAAAACCTCTACAAACTGTGAGTCAAAATAAACCTTTTCTCCTCTAACAAAAGTGTCAGTATTTTGTCCCAGGAACAAGAAAGTAACTAAGACACCCCTCTTCTTATATGTCCTTTCTTCACTGCCCCAAATACCTTCCTTACTTGGAAAGCTCCTAACATCTCCCACCTGATTCTAGATGGACTTTCTTTGAGAAACATTTCCTCTATATCAAACTCCCAGTTACACAGACTCCAATGACCTCAGGAGCCCTCCTGTGTAACATTTATCAGTAATACAACCTTACATGTTCTATGTGACCATTCAGTGAATATCTTCCTGCCCCTCTTACAGACTGTAGACACCAAGAGGCCAGACAACCATTGCTATTTTTCACACCATTTACTATTTACTCCCAATGCTTAATACCTAGCACTTACAAGCCAGATTGAATAAACATCTGTGAAAAAAAGTTAAGTAATAATTGTGATTTTTATTTTTATCTTGACTTTGGGAAGAACGCCTATAGCATCTCACCACTGAGTACATTCGCACTCAGCAGCTAGCAGAGATACTGTTTTTCGTGTAAAGGATGCCTTCTCCAGGTCCTAAATCAAGGTGTCACCACCGGGGCGCAGACGGAAGCCCTTGTCAGGTCACCGATCTCTGGCCTCTTCTCTGTCCCAGTCTGCACCCACAGTGCTTCACTTCAGATATCTACACCGCTCGAGAGGCAGCTCTGCGGTCCATTCCCTTCTGCCATTTGGCATTTGTTTCTGGCATCAAAATCTCTCGGCTCGGGCAGAGGCTTCAAATGAACTAGACGGAGAAGATCACTGTTTCCAAAACGATCATCTTTTTAAAGTGGGCTCTATCAGGAAAAAGCATCACTAGAAGGGTGGTGTGGAGTTTTCAGGCTCAGCTCTTCTTCTGTGACTAGACCCTCATATGCAGCTCGAAGGGAGAGCACAGCACTCCCCTCTTCAAGATGGCTGTGTCACCCTCTTCAGATGGCAAAGCATTTGTTGCTCCAATTTGGGCTTCTCAGCCTTCTCTGCCCAGCCTGTGGTCAATGCGATTTCTTCTAGTTTCCCAAGGGTTCAATTCCCTGCAAATGTGAGATTATAAAAGTTTATGTTATGGGGTTCTTTAAAGCAGGAGTTTTTAAATGATTTCAAGAACTGCTCTCTCCACACATGTGTAAATACCGAATAGTTTCTCTGGTGTGAATAATCTGCAATAATACATAAGATCCTAATAAGATTACTGACATTTAGAAATGGGAAGAAAGGAGCTAAAGGTGTAGGGAAGGTGGGATGGGTAGGGGAAGGGTTATGAGGGAAAAGAAAAAAATGTGAGATGACGAAAAGCTGGAAAAAAAGTGTTTTTAGATGGGGAGGGGAGGAGGGGGTGAAGGGAGGGCAGGGGTAAGGGGAAAAAATGAGAATCAAGACTTGTCATGTAGAGGTACAAGATCCCAACAATGAATGCAACTGTACTGTATCCCTAAAATGTACCAATAAACTCAATTAAAGCTGAAAAAAAAAAGAACTCTCTCAAGGAGGAGGAAGTCACAGATTTTTAACTCTCGACTGATTGGTACTCTCTCCTGATGGCAGGCATTGAGGAAAACAGGGAAGAAACAAATCTCTAGAAACTTGGAATTTACAGAAGAGGGAAGAAGGAGAGAAACTGACATCATAAGCAAGTACCACACTCTGGGACCTTCAGATCAGGGGCTGGGGCATAACCTCAATTTCTTTGTTCTCTAGGACTTAGGTAGCTCATTTATGGAAATGAAACATGCAAATTTTGTTGTGAGATAAACTGTCTCCTCCACTAAATTATCACAGCATTGTCCCATTAGGAAGCTGTGTTTATGCACAGTATCACGCTGCCCTGCATTTCACGGCCAGGAGCACTTTGGCTTTCCAGCAGCGGCTGATACTGAGAGATTTTACACTCTTGTTATCACACATCTGTAAAAGTGTCATGGAGGACTCAGTTCAGAACAGTACCACGATTGTCTTTATGGGACCTCAGGGGAGAAATTTCACAGTGTCTCATTTCTGGGAACTGGCGCTCTCTTGGAGAGCTGATGTGCTTTTATTCTGTGTGATCGAGTTTGGTAACTGATCCTCCTTCCCCTCACCTTGGCTTCTGGGAAATTCAGAGTTGACACTGCAGATCAATACATGTGGATAGGCAGAACATTAGAGTATGCAAGTGGGTGTGAGCAAGATTTTCACCTTGCAAGTCTTGCTGCACGACAGTAACAGGTGCCTTTACTGGTGTTTTATCTTTCTTTTTCTATTTTTCTTTCCATCTTTTTGCACCTTTGTAAACTACCCCAGATCTTTTTGGAAAGGTACTGAATATAAGCAATAAATAATCATCACCATACCCCTCCAGAGGATAATCTCAACAAAACTACAACTGAGTCAATGCCCAGAAACAATTTATAAAAAAGAGGAAACATCCAGAAATATCTAGATTCATGACTCTCTAATTGTGCCTTGCACCTACTGTTACATGCTGCTCACCACTTCCAGAACAATCAGCTCAGAGTGTGACTAGGATCCTGCCACTAGGATACAATACTTGATACTCACAACTTAAAGAGGAGAGGTTTTAAAATTTTGGCTCACAGTTTTTAGAGGATTCAGTCCACAGCCAGCTGGCTCCAAGACAGAAAGAACACGGTGGAAGGGCCTGGTGGAAGGCAGTTGCTCACATCATGGCAGACAGGAAGCGGAGAGAGAAGGGAGGAGCCAGAGAGGAAGATAAACCCTTCCAGGCCATGCCCCTAGTGACCGACCTTTTCCAATCAGAACCCCCCACCTAGTAGTAAGTCAGCTTTAGTGCCCCCATCAACTACCTTCCAAAGGTCCGACCTTTGAATGCTTGAAGCTTTGTGGGAGTCATCTAGGTCTAAGTCATAACGGAGGATAGAGGGCATAGCCCTGTGTCTGGCAGGTGGCAATAGGTGCTTGAAAACAAGAATGGTCTCCACATCAGAGCTCAGGTTTACGCCACCATCCCCTCCAGAAAGAAGGCATTACCCAACATTACAGGCTGAACGAATGGGCCTTGTGAGGACCGTAGGGCCAGGAGTAATTTGTTTGACCTCCAGCACCCTTTCTAAATGATCTTTAATTGGAGCCTTATGATTCCAATCCCCACAGAAATAAAACAGGTAGGGAAGATGGTCTCTACTACTCTTTTCCCACCTTTGCTTGGCCAGGAACAATGTAACTTGTCCCTTGGTAGGGGCAAGATAGGATGTCCCATGGTAGAATGTTGGGGGCCTCTCTGTGATGTGCACACCCATGCACAGACATTGGTCCCTAAATGTCCACGGGCAAGACATGTGCCGAGTAATACCACTCTCCATCTATGGAGGTTATGAAGCCCATGTACGCCAAAGGATCTCCCAAGTGAGCACAACTATAAGGCCACTGTGTTACTCTCCCATGTGCCAACTTGTGCACCAGGTTGCAAATAGGGATGCAAGAAAATGTTAAACGTGTGCTTATATTTTCATTCACTGTGTCTTTTGGGAGGACATGGATTTTACATAATTCAGTCTGGATAAGTCTAGGTCTGCAGATATGATAACTGCAGTATGATACACAGGTGTGAAAAGTCATGGACACCCATGACTGATATATAGTTCTGTCCCGGGGCACATTAGTTATGGTAGATTTGCTCCTATAGAATTAAACCCAACACACATTAGCTTAACACGGCTAAGGAATTAAACTCTTACAGGTGTTGGAGCAACAAAAATCAAAGGCTTTTTCTAGTTGGCAGTCCTGGGAAAGTGAATAAATACCCATGGTTCTCTCCTTCCTTGCTCATTCTGGGACCCAGAACTCCTTCCAAATTGTGGCCCTGCCATCACAAAAGCCTCACTGTCATCTGCGTTGGCTTGACAGAGAGGGATAAGTGGGAGGTCGCTCACACTAGAGGACTTTATAGGCCGGGCCTAGCAGAGGTTTGGCTTGGCCTAGATTTCCTCAGCTATAACTCAGGCTATAACAAGTCCACACCTAGCTGCAAAGTATCCTGGGAAGTGTAGTCTCACTGTGGTCCAGGAAGGTGAACATAAAGGATTTGGTGAACAACTGGCCATTTCTATTCACAGGAACAACAATTAGTTCCAATGAATGTTAAAAGAGGACATACTTGAGCTTAACTTTTACTGGTGCTGGGTATTGGACCCAGGGCCTTCTCCCTGGGCTATGTTCCAATCCTTCTCCCCACCCCAACCCTGCCTGTTTTTTTTTTAATTTTAAGACAGGGTCTCACTAGTTCACTAAGTTGCCCAGGCAGGACTCAAACATTCTAGCCTCCTGCCTCAGCCTCCTAGAGTGCTGGGATTGCAGGCATGTCAAAATTTTAAATGTCCCGCAGTGCAACACAGTGCCTTGGGCCATGTGAAAATATTCACATCGCCATACCACAGTAAGGTGTCCACATGGCAGGGTTACTACTATGATCCTTTCAGCCTAGAGTGCAGATTTTGTCATAAAACTAGAGGACCAGCACTGCCTCATGGTAACTTGGAGAACAAAGAGTTTCTTTGTGAAAAATGTCTTCATTCAAATCTCTACTTAAATATTTTCACTTCACAGAGGCCTTCCCTGACCGTCCTTTCTTATAAAGAATCTTTGTCTCCTCTGACGTCTTACCTGAATTTATTACCTGCTGTGCTGATTGTACTGAGTTTCCCATTCGCATTCCAGAGGGAGCCCACTTTGTTCTGTTGTTCGATGCCATTTACCTATTCCCGGCAGTACCTGGACACAGATGTTTACAAATATTGAATAAATAAATAGAAGATAAAAGCAGAAGCTTAAAGAATAAAAATATTGACCTACAGCACAATGTTCACACACATTTAATATAAAAAACAGCTGGAAAAACTTAAAGTTCTTCTAATTCAACATCTTCATTGTCTTGTTCTTTTTTTCCCCCCTCCTGCTACTGGGGATTGAACCCAAGCCTTTGTACTGAGCTACATTCCCAGTCCTTTTTAATTTTTATTTTGAGACAGGGTCTCACTGAGCCACTAAATCACCCAGACTGGACTGGAACTTTCGATCCTCCTGCCTCAGCCTCCCAGAGTGCTGGGATTACAGACACGCACCACCACACCCAGAGCTTCATTCTTTTGACATGACTGTCAGTCAAAACAAATCCTCTGAAAAAGGAAAAAGATATGGAGAGGAGAGTTCCCTAGGGTCTTTTGTGTAAGGGCACCAGCCACATTCAACGGCTCTGCATCCCATCACCTCCGAGGCTGCCTTGCAATATGGAGGTATAAGATCACAACACGTGAATTCTGAAGGACGCCGAACTCCAGCCCACTGGAGCAGATGTTAACGCAATAGCACGTGTGTGTGGATGGGAGGTTCTCAGTACCCGTGAGGCCTCTTGGCAGACTCCACGCTGCCATGAGTGAAGAATGATGTGTGCGTACAGGTGGGGTGTGGAAGAGAACCCTGGGACTGGGGACCAGCAAAGCTCAGAGCTTGCTTCTGCCTCGCAGTAATTATGCACAGTACAGGAAAACCTCTATACCCATCAGCCCTTACGACTCCTCGCCTCCAGACTAGGCCTGTGAATACTTCCCAGGTGCTGTAACTCACGAAGCAGTGTGTCTTTTTATTCATTTATTGAGACAGGGTCTCACTGTGCAGTTCAGGCTGACCTTGAACTCACTGCGTAGCCCAGGCTGGCCTTGAGCTCACAGCGATCCTCCTGCCTCAGCGCCTCCACTCCTGGCTAAAGTAATGTATCTCAGGGGACCCACAGCACAGCGGTAAGTCAGTGCTTATCACCTCAGAGCCAAATCCCCTTGGGACTTTGGGGATGGTGTCCGGCCTTGCTCCGTGACCCCAAGTACGTCCCAAAGCAGGTCACTCCTTGAGAAAGAAGATATTTCCAGGACCTCCTGATCCCCACAGTGCTGAGCACAGGCTGGGTGGAATGCAGAGCGTCAGCGACTGGCTCTTGATCATCAGATTGTAGCACGTCAGTGTTCCACAGGTTATCATTAGTCCCTCGTTTTCAGCTTTGCGCATACTAGAATTTACGTTGTACTCTAAAATGGGCGAAAGCCGCCAGGCGTGATGGCGCACGCCTGTGACGCCAGCACTCAGGAGGCCGAGGTAGGAGGATCGCCGAGAGCGTGAGGCCAGCCTGGGCTACACAGCGAGTTCAAGGCCAGCCAGTACTATGTAGTGAGAAGCAGTAAAATGCACAAAAGCATTCAGCTATTCTTTTGACCTAAACTCCACCATGAACAAGTAGACACCCTTTATCCCCGCTGTTCGGGAAAGGAATCGGGTGCCTAGTGATTAAGCGACCTGCTCCGGGTAGGGGCCTTCACACGTGACAGAGAATAACCCCAGCCCTGCAGTGACTCGAGGTCTGAGCCTGTGGCCCCCAGAAGAGCTCCCTGCATTGCCCTGGGGCACCATGGGAGCACAAAGGGACAGAATGCACATTCCTTCCTGGACTCTCGGCACCTTCTGGGACTGACAGGTGCCTGGGTGCGGGCAGAGTTCGCCGGCCTCCCGAGATGGCACGTTTCAGGCCTTTACATCACGTCTGTGAGATTAGCTTCCCTCTGTTAGGTAAAAATAGTCCTGCACTCAGAGAGCCATGGCAGGGCGCATGACGCCCTTATCTAGGCCATGCAGGCCTCCCTGCACTGAGTCCCACAGAGCGCCTGTCCTGGGAACCACTGAGCTCGGTTTGGAGCCCGGAAGCCAGAACGCTGGGTCGAACTGACCTCCTCTTCCTGACAGCTCCCAACCCTATCTTACCCCGCCAGTGTTTTCTTTGTAGGAGTAGAGCGCGCCATCCATTCTCTGAAAGGATCCCTGCCTCAGACTTAGAGATTCATTAACTGGACAAATGTTTGTTGCGTGCACTGGCTTCGTCTACGGCTCATAGAGAAATCAGGGAGCGGAGGAGACCATGATTCCTGTCCTAGCAGATCCTGCTTGTAGGAAAGGGAAATGAGCAGTCAATAATAGAGATCATAAATAAGGGGAGGGAGACACTGCTTGAAGCGGGTGTGTGCCAAGGCGGGAGTTGGAAGGGGACCAATGTGGGAGAGACAGTTTGCAACTGCAAGTAAGCAAACACCCTGCATTGCACAGGCGATTTCCTAGCGGAGGCTGTACAGCTACTGGAAGCAAGTCTCAGACATTGGGGACAATCAGTGCAGAGGTCTGTGACATCAAGATGCCTGGTACACTCGAGGCATTGAAGGAGGACAGGGCAGCAGGAGCAGGGTGAGTGACGGGTGCAAGGGAAAAAGTAGGACCACTTCCTTGAAAACCAAGCCACACAGGGTTGCCCCTTTGAGGGTTTGGATTTTATTCTGAATAAAGTAGGGAACCAGTGAAGAGGACTAAGAAAGGAGGGAAATAATCTGATGAGGTCAGAAATAATCTGACAGGTTGTTTTGGACAGGGTCTTGCTATGTAGTGCCTTGAACTCACTATGTAGCCCAGATCGGCTTCAAACTCTTGATCCTCCTGCCTCAGCCTCCCATGTACTGGGCATCTGGCTAATCTGACTGCTTTTAAACAGAGTAACTATTGACTCCTCTCTGAAGAATAGACTAAGGATATGGGTTAGGCTGGGAGGAGAAAGTGTAGCGGCAAAGAGACCAGTTAGGAAACCAGGGAGTCATGGGCAAGGTGGTGGAACAGGTGTGTAGGGTACGGAAAGATCTAACCACATTAGCACCCTGAGAAGTAAATGTTGTTATGCGCATTTGTTCCAGCAACCCATGCTGACTAAGACAAGACCAGGAGCCAGAGAGAAGTGAGGGGAGAGAGGACAGAGGGGGAGGACCAAGGACTGTGCCCTGGGCTTTCCCAAGGTCAGACTGCAGGAGAAGTGGGGACCTCAACAGAAGACACTGAGGAAGGGCAGGGAGGGTACAGGGTGGTAGGAAGATAGACGTGGAAGAAGATGATTCTACAAGCCAGGTGGAGGAGAATAAGAGCCAGGACCATGGTGCACACCTGGCACCCCAGGACTCAGGAGGCTGAGGCAGGAGAATCACAAGTTCAAGGCCAGCCTGGGAAGACCCTATCTCAAAAGAAAAGGGAAGAAGACAAAAAAGAAAGAGGAGGGGAAAAGAGAGAGAAGAGGCAAAGGAACAGGAGGAAGAGAAAGAGAGCGGAGAAAAAGAAGAGGAGGAGAAAGAAGAAGAAAAAAAAAGTGGAGATGGAAGAGGAGAAGGATGAGGACAGGAGAGAGAGGAGGGGGTGAGGAGGAGGAGGATGAAGAGAAAGAGGAAGAAGAGGAGGAAGAAGAGAGAAAGGAGGAAAAGGAGAATCTGGCACAAAAGTGGAAGACATGGCTTTAGATAGAGGCACTGCAGTTCATTTAGAATAAAAGCTTCCAAGGCCCTGTCTATAGTTTAGGGCTGAGTAACTCCCTCCAAGAGTAGCCAGTACTGTTGTAGGCTCTGCTGAGTTCTTCCTTCTGCAACTGCTTAGCGCTTCTGATGAAGTGCTGAAGTAGTTACAGGCAACATGCATGAGGCAGGCAAGATTAGGTTCAAATCCAGCTTGTCACAAATGTGATGTTTGGTTTGCGTCAAGATTCGTTGACCTTTGGCCTAGAGTTGATTCATGGGAGAGTATTCTAACATCTGTCCTTGTCCTTTAAATTCAAGCATGGTGCATGAATGAGTTAGAAGACGGAGCTCACGATGAAATAGTTTCATAAACTTTGGAGTTGGAAGAGCTGAGAATTCACCTCTTTATAGTCAATGAAGTATAGCATTAACCAGACTCCTTGAGCAAGGAATGAAACCTACTCACCTCTGTTGGACCACCATCCAGTCCAGGCCTGCACAGGCATAGGAGGTGTTCTGTTCAGTATCTTGTAAAGTCACTGTGTATTGTATAGTAGTAGTGTAGTATAGTAGGGACTGTTTATTGATAGGGAAAATGAAATCACTATGATTCGTGCCCTCCCAGACTCATTTCCCCCAGTTTCTCAGATAAAATTAGGCCATTCCTGCTGCCCCCTGATAGAGACGAAAGAGAAGATACCAATCTGGATGAAATGTTGATAACCATTTCTATACTACATATTTTAGTTGCTTTTCTCATTGGTGCAACAAAATACCCAACATCCACAAATTTAAGGAAGAGAGGATTATTTGCACTCACAGTTTGTAGAGGTTTTAGTCCTTAGTTGGCTGGCTCCAAAGCAGGGCAGCATGGAAGAAGGAAGCAGTGAGTCTTCCTCTCCCTTTTTATTCCATCCATTGTACAATCCTATTGGTTGGTGCCACCCACATCCAGGATGGGTCTTCCCTCTTCAGTAAATCCATCACCTACACCCAGAACTATGCTAAATAAATCAATGGACTGATCCACTATCACACACCCATGAGCCAGTCACTCCTGAAAGCCCCACCTATGAGCACAGGAGGCTTTCGGGGGGACAGCTTGATATAAGACACAGCACTGCAAAATCACCTTCTATTATTGAATAAAAATCATTTACTAGTAAGTGAATAAAACCGAATTCAATTTTTAAACCTTTTTATTAGTACATGTTTTCAACAAATCATGAATATATTCATCATGGGGAGTTGGTACCCATTGTATCTTAGTCCTCCTTATTTCCCCTTCCCTTTTACTCCATCCTTAGATCCCCTTCCCCTATGGGTCTACTTCCCTGTTTGCTGTCATTTTTTAACTTTGCTCTTTAAATTACTTATAATTGGAATTTCTCATGTAAGAGAAGCTGTATGATATTTCACCTTCTGTATCTGATTTATTTCACTTAGCATTATGATCTCAAGGTACATCCATTAAGCGCACATGGTACCTACTGATGGAGGTAAAACTGAGAGGAGAGATGCCAGTTATGGCCAAGCAGTGAATTTACCTTTAGGATGAAGCAGATGACAATGGTGATGATGGTGGGATGAGGAGGATGACAGTAATGATGAAGAAAGGGAAGAGGGAGGACTGGTGGCCATGCCCACAGCATCTCCGAAGGTGGTGTGTTCTTCTGGCTGAGGCAGTGGCATATGACGGAGCTAGAGTCAAGACTGGATTTAGCAGTCCTTTGACACATTAGTTGCTTATCCCAGGCTTTCCAGAAATCTCTCAGGTTCCTCATGGATATAACAAGAAGAAATATAATCCTTGCATACCTCACAGACTCGTGGTGAGGGCAGATTAGCTCATGGATGAGGATGAAAAGCAGTGTGTGAGTCTCACAGTTATGACCACCTGTCCCTTCTCCACCACACCACTTCATTCTGTAGAGCACATCTTCTTCTGCTGAGCCTTGTCCTTTAAAGGAGAGAAGCCAAGTAAAAAGTTACTCAGAATGGATTATTGTTGGTTCTGGTATCACTTTATAGGAGCAAATTGCATGCAGCTGATCTCAGGCTTGTCAGTGGGTTGTAGAAATGTTTGCTGCCCCTCTTATTGATTCCACTGGGGAGGAATTCATCACCAGACTCCTGCTCTGACTGAAGGCCACAGCCTCCCTCTTCCCTCATTGTAGCCCCTGGTCTCCTTACTACTGGGGCCCTAACCAGGTGGTCTCAAGTCAGTTCCTCCTGTGGCCAAACCCTAGCTCTGCACCCCAGCTTGAAGTCCTGTGAGCCCCTTGTTCAAGGGCCTTCTCTGGGCACTGATGAATCTTCCTGATCGATGTTTGGCACAGAAATTCCAGCTTGATGCTGAAATCAACTGGCATCCAAAAGCCCTGCCTTCCCTCCCCTCAATCCCGAGACCAATTCCTGACCATGTCGGTGCTGCCACACACAGGGTTTCCAGGCTCTTTGGGGACTCTGACATCTTCACCAGCACCCCTACACCCTGCTTCACCCAGCACCTGAAGTCCAAGAGCTGAATCTCACTCCTATGCCACAGCACAGGGTCAGGCATCATCTGTGTTGTTCCCTTGGACAGGGACAACTTTTGCTCAGCAAATAGCTCGCAGAATTTCCCACAATGCCCGGCGGCTTCCATGGTGATTGGGGTGGAGCTGCATTGACAGCTCATATCAGAGTGGTTGAAGAACGTCTATCAATTCAGGGCTGAGGCTGTCAGGGTCTTCGTATCACTTACATCACTTTCTTCCCAGCTCGAACAGTTCTCAGGGCTAGCAGTCCCCACAGCATGCCCACAAGTTAGGGTTAGGATGCAACCTGCAAATGACATCAGCCTTATTGTGTTTAGCAGTTACAGTTTCAGGGCCTCCCTTGGGGACAGCTAATGATAATGACTTTCACTGGTTCATCTGTGACTGACACTTGGCCAAGCACATGTCTTTAACACAGTTCTCCTCCGAGGTATGGAAAGGCTTCAAGGAAAACCTTCTTGTGAAAGAATTTCAGGACACGCTTCTGACTTGCTGTTATGAACAAAACTACCAGGAGAATGCATGCGCCTTTTATAAATCAAAGCTTCAAAGTCCTGCAATTATGTCACCAGTTACATCAACAAATGTTTTAAATTTACCTGGGTTTTTAGATAACAGAATGGAAGAACACCATGATGAGATTGTCTTAAGTTCTTTTTGTAGTGCTAGATGCCAGGGACACAAAATACAAACACCCTCTTTCTCAAAAATAAGATGTAGCTAGAAAATAAGCAACCCAGAAAACTAAAGATCGAAGTGCCAGCCCCAATGGCCTGCCCTCGCCTCTCCTGCTGTCTCTGTTCTCTGGCTCAGTGGCAGCTCTTTGAGGCAGCGGGGCCAGGATGGGCTGATGGGGCTGGAGATTTTGATCTCTAGTTTTCAAGGCTGATTGTTTTCTGGCTTGGACTTATTTTCAGGGAGACGTAGCATCACTTCCTGTAGTCAGATATCTATGGAAATGATGGCATTGCTTAATCATTTGCTTGTAACACCTTGTTGCCCGAAAAGCTTTCTGGTAAGCCTGCCCTTGCAGTACATCTCCCTAGCTTCTCTGCTATAAGAAGGTGCTAACCCTTCCTCGGGTCTGTAAGGCTGACAAGGATCACAAAAGATTCTGCGAAAATGTTACATAAAGCTAGAGAAGAAGAGGCGATCTTTGCAGCCTCTTCCCAGAAATGACATCTATTGGGACCATACGGCCCAGAGTGCTCTCGGGGACCACGCCAAGCATCTACTCAGCACACACCTTGTGGCAGCCCCTTTGCTGAGAGCTCTCATCCCAGCCCTGCAGCAGACTGAGAAGCAGACATGCTACCACTTTCGTCCAAGGGAGACACTGCCTCTCAGAGGGTCTGGACACAAGGCCGGTCATGTCGCAGCGCCACGCTTTCTGCATGACATCATGTGCCTTCCATTCAGTTCCTGCGCCACTGGCCAGGAGCCTTGGAGACATCTGGCTCTGGACAGAGGAAGAAGGGGCAAAACAAGGTGCCCTACTAAGTGCTAGGCTGGGTTGGGGCCTCTCCTAGCTCTCCTTGCTGCCTGGCCTCAACCTTGGCCCTCCAGTGACCCTGGGGATCACTACCAGGTCCCATGTGCATCCTTTATAATGTGATAGCTGCCACCAAACTTCTTTGTAATGAAATGTTTGGGGCCACTCAATCAGATGTTCGGGTTCGATAAGAAATGGATGCCTCTTTATTCAAAGCTCTATGGGGATCTTGGAAAACATCACCCTACTCTGAAAAATGAGGGATTTTAAAGATTTTAGGGGAAAAAAGGCCCCAATGATTTGAGAACTTCTGTATCTGTCACTTGGCCTAGCTCCTTCCCAATGGGGCCACCCCGGTAACAAAAGCACCCCCTCCCTCTTCCCAGCGGCTTTCAGGAGAGGCCAGAGGAGGGATTGGTAGGCTCTGGTTTTAAGGGTTTTGTTTTGGGGGAGTGTTCTTTTTTTTTCCTTGCACTCAGAGAATAAGTTAATTATGATTGGTTAAAATTTGTGGGTTTTTGCTTTTATCCCTGAACCACAATTAGAGCTCCTGACAGCCTCCTGGCCCTCAGAAATTCCAGCTGGTATAATAATTGATAACCGTGGTTATGAATAGATTGGAAACAAGACTGTGAAAGAATGTTCAGCCACTTCAGAGGGCCATTTATAGCGCGCTGAAGGGAAAGGAGAAATTCAGGCCTGGAAAGCTTAGAAACAGAACGAGTTTTTATCAGTTTCCTTGACGCTGGCAGATCAAAGCCTGGGTTGTGCTTTCTAACGGTGGCAGATAATGGGGTGGCTGCTAATTCATTCTGCTGCCGGCGCAGAGGCCTATTCAGAAGGGTAAACTGGGGAGTTTTCATAGCTCTGCTTTGTAGTCTTTATCATAGTACCAATGCAAGAATCACCTTTTTATTTTAATGAGGCATTTGAAAAGTATTTGATTCCCTCTGGCTAGGGGCTCTTTCCCCCGGCTGAGACTGTAAGAAAGCACTGCCCAAGGGAGCCTCATTTTCTGAAAGCAATAGTATGCGTGTCCAACCCACCTGCCCCCCTTGTCACTTTAATAATTTCAATGTGAGAAAAAGCTGGGCGAGTGGGGAAGGAACACAGCGAGATGGCCATGAAATCAGAGCTGTTTTCGTTTGCTTTCTTTCTGAGTAGGCGGTTGGCTGGAGAGACACAATTTCAAATCCCTCGTGTGACTCCAGGAATAGCCTGATGACTCCCCGAAGCTGCCCCATGAGTGGAAGAAGGAATGGCCACCAGGTCACCTCACTGCTGTCTTGTCTAAAGTGCCCGAAGTGTCTAAAATAGAGGCATTTGAAAGCATTTGATGATTGAGATTGACAAAATCAATGAGTGATCCCCACTGAGCCTCCCAGAATTCCCTTAAGTGTTGTATCAGTCAGCTTTACGTCACTGTGGCAAAATGCCTGCCATAACTTACAGGAGGAAAGAGTTATTGTAAATCACACTTTCAGATATTTCAGACCAGGGTCAGCCAGCTCCACGACTCTCAGCCAATGAGGGGCAGAAACACCATGGGGAAAGGGCACAGCAGAGGAAGGTTGCTCACCTCATGGCAGCCAGGAAGCAGAGATGGAATAAAAGAGCCAGAGAGGAAGGGGCCAGGGTCAAGATATAGCCCCCAAGGCCCTGCTCTCTTGATCCACTACTTACAGCTGGGCCCCATCTTCTGTTTCCTGCTCCTCCCAATGATGCCATCGAATTATGATCCCATCAGTACATTGTGATCCGTTTCCTTCCCCCAGTGCCTATCAGCAACCAAGCCTTAAGCACCGTGACTCTTTGGGGAGACAAACTGCATCCCAATCATGACAGCCATGTTGTTTAGATATTTTCAATACTGTAAATTTTGTTTAGCACTGTTATGGGCTGAATCCTCTCTCTCTGTTGAAGTTCTAGCCTGCAGCACTTCAGAATGTGGCTGCATCTAGAGGTAGGGTCTTTAGGGAGGCCGCTAGCCATAATGCTAAGTAAAATAAATCAGACACGGGATGTTAAATATCACACAGTTTCTCTTATATGGGAAACCCAATGTATAAATCATCTATAAAGCCAAAGGAATGAGAAGTGGCAGGAAACAGGTAGGCAGACTTTGTGGAAATGGGAAGAGGCTCTGAGAGTGGGGAAGACAAGAAGGAGGAGCGGGGAGGGAGAAATAAAGATAAGTAAGATGTGTTATGCATACATACCTATCCCCCATGATGAATGCATTTATATTTAATTAATTAATTTTTTTATTTATTGGTTCTGGGGATCGAACTTGGGACGTTGCACTTGCAAGGCAGGCAGCAGCACCACTGAGCTAAATCCCTGGCCCTGCATTTATTATGTATTACAAAGGTATACCGATGAAAAATTTTAAGAAGAGAGAAGCAAAGTAGGTAAAATCTATTTTCTCCCTTCTCAAGCACTCTTAGTCATTAGAAGAAGTAAAATGTTGGATATTACCATTCCTGGAACTACAAAGATGTGCAAAAATGTAAAAGTAAATATAAAATAAAGTAAGGTGATTTAGGTGTACCCTGATCCTCCCTGCATGGAGAGAGGATCAGCATACCTGCACACAGAGCAGAGACCATGTGAAGACACACAGAGGACATGGGCTCTACAAGTCACAGAGGTAGGCCTCAGAGAAACCCCTTCTGTTGTCCATCCTGTTGATCGGCCCCTGTTCCAGATCAGATTGGGGTTAGGGGTGGGGTTAAGCCTAACATCCTGGCCATGACTGACAGGTCACGTCCTGTCGACCAGTCTCCATTCGGATCAGGTTACATCCTGTTTCCCGTCTTCATTCCAGCTCTTTGTAATTTGACAGGTCACATCCTATTTACCAGCCGGTCTGCCCATGCCCTGATCGCCTGCCTTGTGGAGGATGTGGTGAGGACTAAGATTCACCTCCTCTGTGTCGTTGTCTTTAGTTTACAAATTCTAACACACTGGGTTTTCTCAGAACTGCAGAAGGAAGATGTGGGATGAGGAACCAGATTTGCCACACAGGTCTTTGGAGCCAGGGCCATATCCTCTTGAAGTTCTCTCCTCTAGAAAATTCTGAGCATTAATAAAAATGTCCTACAATGGAGGAATGTTGCACATTCGTCCTTGCCCCTCGATTTCCACTGGTTGGATTTAGAGCAGCCTGCAGTCTCTCTCCTCACCTCCTCTCAGAGGCCCTCGAGATGCAATGCTTACCTTGTAAGGTGGTGTACATTTATAATCCCAGCACCCAGGAGGCTGAGGCAGGAAAATTGCCTCAAGTTTGAGACCAGCTAGTTCTACACAGTGAGCTCAAATCCAGCCTGGACTACATAAGGAGACCCTGTCTCAAAACAACAACAACAACAACAACAACAACAAAACACCTGAGTTTATTCCTGGTACCAAAAAAAGAGAGAAAGAAAGAAAGAAAGAAAGAAAGAAAGAAAGAAAGAAAGAAAGAAAGAAAAAGAAAGAAAGAAAGAAAGAAAGAAAGAAAGAAAGAAAGAAAGAAAGAAAGAAAAGAAGAAAGGAAAGAGAAGACATAATGTTTCCATTGCCCCAGAACAGGCTCTAAGTATAGGGCCTCAAATAAACCACCTACAGTCATTCAGATTTCAGGAGGAATTTTTTTTTTTAAATAGGCCAATGATTCTTGCTTTTGGACCACCAGGGGCAGATGCTCTGGCTCTGTTCCGGCCGACCCTAGCAGCTGACCACATCCAAAGTGACTTGCTCCACCTCCAATGAGGAGCACAGCCTGCACCGCTGAGAGGTGCAGACACACACTGCCTGAGCCCCAGAGGTCCTGGGCCTGCTCCCCAAGCTGTAGCCCCCAGGAGAACATCAGGGTCCCAGTGTCAGTTGGGAATAAATGCCAAGCTACCCAGGTGTTGTCCCCAAGCCCCTCTTGAGGAGCCTCTTTCTCCACCCATCTCCACCGCAGCTCAACTGCAAGCTGCCTGTTGCCACAAACCTTGTCACCTCCACCCAGAGCCCAGCAGGAAAAACAGATCCCTTGGGTGTGGAAGAAGCTCGGCTTTTCCTACCAATCCCATGAGAAGGAAGCAAAAGGATAAGCAAACCAAATCTTGAATCTTTTCTCCATCCTCCGCACCAAGTCGGGTAGCAAGGAGTGTGCATGATCTACCTCTTCCCAAGTCCAGGTACACACAAGAAACCATTTACTGAGCTTTCAGTTGGATGGGAAGAAATGATTGAGAAAATCAAAACACAGAAAGTAGTTCATGAGAATGGACATAATTACAATTATTCACAAGAAAACCTGATCTCTTACAGCAAAAGTATAGCTGTCTCTGAAAATTTCTCAGTAGCAGTCGGGCTAACTAAAAGTACAAAAGATTATAAATAAATCAGAATGTGAACACATTGATAATGCGATATTCATGTGCAGGCACTAAAGCACTTGAAAACCCTCACAAACTCTAAGCCTCTGCCTCCCATTAGAGCCCTGGTACCTAAGAACTGAAATTCAGCCCACCAATGCTTGGTTAGCATAAGTAGAATGATGTAAAGTAGGCACCTTGCTGAACTCCAGGAGAGAAGGGGCACCTATGTGCAAATTCCCTGGACAGTGTTAGGATTCTGACACTTAATCCTGACTCCTAATCCTGATCTTCTGTGCCCATGATTCTTCTGTTGGTATCTTTTTAAAAAAATATATATTGACGCTACATCTAATTATAATCAAGCAATAGGTCTTGCTGGTCGAGAAACATTCTGTAACCCACTGTGCAATGAATATTTATGTCACTGCTCTAAGAATTGCAGGTGGTCTTTTGCCTTAGAGCGATTTGTTAGGAAACGATGTCTCTCAACCTTGACTGAGTACACGATGATGAAAGGCCTTGTACTCTGTCTCTGTCCTTTGGTGGTCAGCCCACGGTTGGGCATGGTCGATGGACTTTGGGGTGAATAGGTGGCCTAATGGATGAATGCATCTGTGGCAGGGTGTTTGGATAGAGGAGTGGACAGGTGACCAGATGGATGGAAGAATAAATGTTACTGGAATCCTGATTCTATCTGGACTTTAGAAAGAAACTCAATAGGAAAACAAACAAACAAACCAAGCACTTTGACTTGCACCCATGATGGATGGTGTAGAATTTCCCACAGTGATAAAGCAGGTGGCTTGGAAGAATCCAGCCAATGTCTTCTTTTCTGGCCACACACCACCTAACGTTGCCACAGAGTTACAAAATACCGGCTACCTCGCTTGATGGGGAAACCATGTTTCCTGGGGATCCAATGGGAGTGTTTCTCAGGAACCCAACCAGCGTGCTGACCGAGAGCTGCACCACAGTGCCCAGTATTTGGGGCAACTGCACACCAGAACACACCTAGGACTGACATTGCACAAAGCTCAGATACATCTGCCAGGAAATCCAGGAGGACTTCGCGTTCTGCTCACACTAGGAAATCTGACTGCAGATCAGCATTGGAAGCCTGACGGAACCACGTATTAGCTGTGTGACCTCTGGCCCGGCTTATCCTCTTTGACACTGGTGTCCCCATCTGTCAAGTGAGGATAATAATTTCTGCCCTGCGCAGCTGACAGGGTTGGTGTGAGGAGATTGACAGCCACAAAAGCTTTTTGTGTGTGATAAAGTACGAGCTGAATGACCATACAGAGTGGGCAGCTATCCTTGGCCTCTCTCTGGCCCCCCTTGGAAATGCTACTCCCATTCTAACTTGGGGGGGTCCAGATGTCTACAGGCCAGCTTCGTGGTTTCACAGACTCAGCCTCACTCTGCCACTCTGGCAGACACAGGGACGGACATCGGATCCGTGGGTTCATATGGCCTTCCTCCCAAGGGCAGCGTCGATGAGGACCAAGAGAGAGACCCATTCCCGCGTGACAGTGACACGCGGATGTGTGAGCCCTAGGGACGCCAGCAGGCATGATTTGGGGGCAGAGGCCAGAAGGGAAGAAGATACACTGCACCCCAGCAGCTGAGGACCGGGTTGCAGATGTCCCTGAGAGCCAGGAAGCACGCGTCACAGTGCCCAGGAAGCCAGCAGCGCTCTCTCTGCCTGCAAACCAAATGTGTCTGGAGCCACAGAGTCACCAACAATGGGCCCCGCTTCCCCGGAAGCTGCATGGAGAGGAGGGTGCTTTAGAGTCGCTTCACATTTGGTTCCTGGGCATAGCGGGATCACAAGCAGCATCAGTTTGATAAAGCATTGCATTATTCCGATGACGATCTGTACTGGTACAGAATGAGCTGTAATTATCAGCAGGCAGAATCAGAAAGCTCTTAAAGAACAACAAAGCCTTCTTGGAGTCTTCCTCTCTCCACACCAAGCACACACATCTCCATAATCTGTCAGCTAAAAGCAAATGATTGCGAACAGTACTGGCAGAAAAATGCCAATGGCTGGTCATTTTATTTATTTATTTTTAATTTTTTTGGTACCGCGGATTGAACTCGGGTCCTTGTGCTTGCAAGGCAGGCCACTGAACCGCTGAGCTAAATCCCCGGCCCTGGCTGGTCATTTTAAAGTCAATCTTTCAGCCGGGCGTGGTGGCACACGCCTGTCATCCCAGCACTCGGGAGGCTGAGGCAGGATCACTGTGAGTTCGAGACCAGCCTGGGCAACATAGTGAGTTCCAGGTCAGTCTCAACTACATAGTGAGGCCCTGTCTCCAAAAAAACAGACAATAAATCAATCAATAAATAAAGTCAATCTTTCTATGACAGAAGTGATGTTTTTACCATGGTGGGAACCAGGGGTGCTGGAGAACTAAGCTCAGATGTGAAACCTGGTTTCATAGTTGGTAAGTTAAACTCTCAAATCCTCAGTGTCCACACCTGTGAGAATGGGTTTGCATCAGGGTTTGTGTACACACGGTATACACACAGCGTCGAGACTGCCTTTCCATGGATGGCACTGGGCAGCAGCACTCACTGAACTTTCTATCACACCTCATTAAGACCCTCAGGAAAGAGGGCCCCAGAGCTGCTGCAGGAAGTGGCGAGGACGGTGGGAGGAGTGCGTGCAGAGTGAGGGGAGAATCAAGGGATCCGTATTTCTGTCTTTCATTGTCACAAATGCTTTTTTTAAAAAAATGTAAATATTCCCAATACTTTTTGATTCCACCACGTACCAAAGGGCTGCAATTTCCTCAGCATTAAGTTCTCAGGAGCATGCGATTCAACCCCCATGGCACCCTTGTCAGTGAGCTCTGCAGCACTTCACCTGGCTTTCACCGGAAGTGCTTTATTACCAGCGAGCAGTGCATTCCCCCTTTTTCCTGCCTCCAGTCCCACCCGGCAACAGCCTGCAGCTTCCCAACCTTCCTCTCTGTAAGCACAGGAAAATCGTTGTCAGGGCAATTGTCAGGGTCCCACTGCTTTGAAGAGCTGAGCTTATCTTTATGGCGCCTGCTGGGCCTGGCTGAGTATAAGAAAGGTGAGGGCCCTTCCAGTCTCCCTGGGAAAGAGGGAGGGGAAGGAAATGAAGGGGAATTGCAGGAAGAGAGACTTTTGTCCAATAAACATGGCAGCTTCCCAGCATGGAGCTCAGCTGGCGGGTTCTGCACTCAGCTGTGCTGAGGGCTTCTGCAATCCCAGCTCTTGGGGCTGCAGGAGCTGATCCCAGGCTCTCAAGCAAGGCCTACATGGGATCAACATGAGCCAACATGGTCCCTTCCATGGAGCCCATGCCAGGGGCTCTGCCTCTCTACTCCTACCTGTCGGCAGGCGTGCTCGCGCCCGGCACATGGGAATTGGGGGCCCTGGTTTACTCCAAGGGAGACTCACCGAACACATGGGCATTGCAGTGTAATTCAAAACTGGGATTAGCATGGAACAAGCATGTGCTGATATTTATAGCCACAGAGAACATGCATGTTGCATATTTATTAAGGTCTGTGTATAATATAAGGCTTTCATTACATTAGACCCAATGAGCACCGGATGTCCAGGGGGCACACAAAGTAAACGGGCACATGCTGAGCCGTTATGTAAGTATATACAATATCTGCAGGTCATGAGGTCAAAAATAGTCATTATATTACGCATATTTACAGATATGCATCGATTACACAGCAGTGGTGGGGAGCCTATGGCCTGCATGCTGCAGCAAGCTGTGTGTATCATTGAAAGC